AAGCTGTACTAGGGTGAGCCACAGGGCCCCTAGGCCACATGCCTCGTGCATGCCGCCTTGCTATATACCATGCACCTGCCTTGGGTACTCTCCCCCTTCCCCATGCTGTTGCACTGGGCAACTATGCAGCCCTGGCCTTACTCTCTGCTTCCTGTACCATATCAGACTGCACCACCCTGCACCCTGGGGCAGGGAGAAGAAGCCTGGAAATTCTACCTGCTGTTGCAGCCAGAGCAGAGGGGGGAAGAGTGGCTGGGCAGGAGTTCAGGCACTGCAACTCAACCCCTTGGAGGCCGCATGCAACCTGTAGGCTGCCAGTTGGACAGCCCTGACTTCAGGATGTGGCTGCAGCTTATACAGCTGCGTGTTCTAAAGTTGTTTTTGGTTTTGTTTTTAAAATTTCATTTCAAGGGCCAAATCAGTTCTGAATTCTGTTGGGCAAAGACCAATACTTAAGTTCCAAATGTTGACAAGAGTAGAGCTTAGTTGTTCAAGCGTGTGTGTGTGTGTGTGTGTGTGTGTGTGTGTGTGTGTGTGTAGCTCTATCACCAGGAAACTATTCTCCCTCCCAGATCCAGTCTTGGGCTTCAGAGGCTCTCCAAATCCATGGAAGGCTTCCTGCATGCAAGTGCCAAGCCTGGAGCCTTTTGGATGTGGATGTCTTACTTGTGAGCTAGGGGGGGAGATAGGTAAGTGCAGCTCATCTGAGTAAAGTATATTCCAATTGCACTCAGTCCCCACTCTTTCAGGACATGGTGAGCCATGACATTTGCATAATTTTGACTTCCTCTTCCTTCCTATGGCTGAACTGTGTCCTTCTTTCCTTTTCCTAATGATTCCTGTTTCTTCACTAGCCTTAAATGTTTGGCAAACATCACCAAGTTGAGGCCCCAGTTCACCCATAATCCCTCTGTGACCCCCCTCTCCTAGCCCATTGCATATGACTAGTGTGGCCTCACACTCCATGAGGTGGAGCTGGACCAGGTTACCATGCACCTTATCTGCATATCAATTTTTGGAGGATCCCAGAACTCATGACAAGAACATCCTGTTCCAATCATGAGTGGGGTTCTGTTTAGCACGTGGAGCTGTTTGTGGTGGGAGACGGAGATTTGGAGTACATGCACATACTGATTAGTGCTGAGCTGTGGGGTCACCATGGCTTGAAACACTGTTGACTATGCTGGGGCTCAGACCAATGAACTACATGGCAAATCATGAGCCTTTTTGCTTTGCGTTAATATAAAGCATAGTTTGTATAGCTTCTCAGTTTCTTGAAGGTTCAGATCAAGTGTACTATGCTTGCCTGGCAAGGGAAACACTGTGACCATGGAGGTGGTCTTGTTAGCCACACCAGGGAAGACTGCCCTCCTGGCATGGGGATAGTACCTGCCAAGGTGATTTATACTAAATCCTTCCTCCCCCCCACTTAGCTGCTGGAGTGTGAAGGTCTTGGCTTTAAACCCACTTTATGGAAATGGAAGACTTTTCTTTAGCTTGCCTTGGGGCCTTACGGCTGAGGGCAAGCAAAACTTGGGGGCATCTGAACCCCAAGCCTCCGGCCTTGGCCTGCAAGTAGGATGCCTGCCAAAGGTGATGGGACCATCTGAAGCCTAGGATGGAGGTGGAGGATTTTTGCCGGTAGTAGAGCCACTTATGGTTCTGGACTCTTGGATTTGGAATTAGTTTTGACTAATTTGGCCTGGAATGCATAATTTTTGTTTTAAAAAGTTTGTACTATATATAAGTAGGTACAAGAGTGTTGCTTAAAAGTATGTTTGTGGAATACCCTTGCTCAAACTTGTAGCAGTTTCAAAAAACAAACATCAATTTTGGTTGAACTAAGTCATTGGGTACCCATGGTAATTTGCCTTTATGCAATTGACTACCAGAATGTTTATTTCAAAGTAAGTGTGTTCAAATGTGTGTCTCACTTCTATATGCTCAGAGAGAGAAGGTTCTGACAGTAAGGAGTGGGGGAAGATACCTGATGGTTGTTCCCACCCCCTCCCCATCTATTTTTCTTGCTGTAGCAGTGGGAGGAAGATACATTCAAGGTAGATTTTCAGTAATTAGATTCTATACCTGGAAAATTTATAACAAATTTATAATTTTCCATATAGAGTCTAATTACTGGGGAGCTACTTTGTATTCAGACCTGTCTTATATTTGAATAAATACAGTAAATTACTATCTCTGGCTGGAAATCACTTATGTCTGTTTCATTTCTTAAATAGGGGCACAGGGGGAGAAAACAAGAGGAATGACAGGTTCTCAAATTGTTGAACTCATACCTATGTGCCTGGGTCACAGGAAAAGTTTTTCAGCTTCCCATTCTATGTAGCCACGTATAGGGCATTACTGGAATCTCAGTGGTCAGTGAAGAAACAGAGGAGTTAATTTTTGTCAGAGTGTGTCCCTACCCCATTCCTACCTTAGAAGTTTAAGCAGTGATCCTCTTTATTTTTTATTGAATTTTTTTTTAAATGCAACACAAAAATAAAAGATACATACTATACATGTTGACCTAAACTATGTACATGTGTGTCACAAACAATAATAAAGGGGAAAAGAAGGAAAAGAATAAACAGGAGGGAAGATGGAGGGGTAGAAGAAGAAAAGAGAAGTGTACAAGGAGTAATAATTTAGTTACTGAAATTTTCTAAGACCTCTTTCCAAATTGCACCAAACATTTCAAAGCAGTTAAGCCTGCTAAACATGCCTCTTTTTGTAGATGTCAGCTATGCCAAAGAGGATGGAGCTAGACTGTTTACAGTAATGGCTGGTGACAGAACAAGGAGCAACAGTCTCAAGTTGCAGCAAGGGAAGTTTAAGTTAGATATTAGGAATAATTTGCTTGCTAGGAGGCTAGTAAAACACTGGAACAGGTTACCCAGAGAGGTGGTGGAAGCTCCATCCTTGGAGTTTTTAAGAGCTGGCTAGACAAAGCTTTGGCTGGGATGCTCTAGTTGGGGACAGTCCTGCTTTGAGCAGGGGATTGGACTAGATGACCTCCTGAGGTCCCTTCCAGCCCTAATTTCCTATGATTCTGTGGCATCTCATTGTACCTGATTTTAATCTTTCCAGGTGTTCCACTTTTCTTATGTAGTATTATAATTTTCCATGTCACTTTATAAGGTCCATTCTAAGACAGCAATCTGGGAAGGATTTAGTTTTCGTTCTTTAGGAATATATCCAGAAGCATACACATTTGCCAAAGTTATCAATGCTATGTTCAAAACTGTGTTAACTATTCTCATAATTTCTTTCCAAAAAGAATTGATAATGGGACACGACCAAAACATGGACAGTAGTGCTTGGTTACATTTCCAACATGCGTCTACCAGCAATATATTCAATTTTTTTTTAGTTTACTGGGAGCCCAGTGCAGAGAAAAGTTACCTTTTGTCATAGAAGATGAAGTTTAAGTCCAATTGTCGATGCTTGAATATTGTGAATTCCTGATTTTTTTTTTGTTTGTTTTTTGTTTTTTTTTAATTTTTTTTCCCCCATTGGGATTCTGTCATCTGAATACCTAGGTCTTTATTCCACTTCAGTCTTAAATAGTCTGCATCAGGTCTGTCATTTAACATTATATAGTCATAGAGTGATGATGGCACACACAGATGGAAACAGATTTCAAGCCAAAAAATAATAATCTGAAATATTCACTTGACCTAAAGCCTCAGGTCCAAACTGATTTTCTAATACTTTATACAACTGCATATATTGCCTTTCAGCTGTTTTCAAAAGATCAAATTCATCGCAATTCAGAAAAGGATTTAATATGATTTCCTACTAGAAGCTGGACTACATGTAGAATACCCCTATCTGTCTAAATTCTCCACATCAGTTTGTGGGAACTTCACATAATCCTTTCAAAAAGACATCATCAAAAATAGAACCCTTACAGTGTAACAAAGGATGAAACTTCAGTAAGTTTGCCAACAACCTTAGAAAAAATGTGTACAGTTTTGAGAGTTAAACTGTGATAAGTAAAGCTCTTGATGGCGGATAATGAAAGGGGAACATAAGTGCCTGTTCAGTTTCCACCCATACAGAAGAGTTATCAGTTATATCCATCATCCAGTACATAGCCAGACTTGCACAGAAAGCATTGTGATATAGTCAGAGGTTTGAAAGATGAAATCCTCCCATTTTATATTGGAAATTGCATCTTTTTTTTTAAATTAGAGTCCTTTTATCCTCTCTCCATAGAAACCTGTTGTCCTCTTCAACCGATTTAAATTTATTTCAAATTTGGCACATGTAATATATGTTGGGAACTTGTGCTTTGCTACATTTGGAATAAGTTCAGTATTAACTGTGATGGAACCTATTTCAAATCTGCATTCGGCTGACAATCAGCACATTAATTTTCTTTAATGACACAAGTATGTACTTGCTGCAATCATGTGCATAGAAGTTTGCCATCAGAAACATTGTATTTCAAATGTCACAGCAATAGCTGGATTGTTGGGTGAGCCATTGTTTCAAAGTGTATGACGTCAAAAGCCAAATGCTCTTGTCTTTGCATTCATCCAGTAAAATGTATCCTGGAATAGAGCAGACTTGGGAAACTATTGAATCCTTCACAAAATGAACTAATATGACTGTCAGTATAAGACACATCTCTGCCTTTCTTTTGGAAATGCATTAAACTTTAATGCCAGGTATGAGAGCAATAGGAAAAACATTCACTGCTGCTTTACTTGCATTTCCCTGTAAACATTGTTTACTCTTTGGTGTATGGTGTCAGGAAATTCATTAGCAATGTCTCCACACTGAGGCATCTGCTGTGTCCTTAACCTGCTGCATGCCGGCTGCCTTATGCAACTGATCTATCAGGTTGATTGTCCAATAAAGTTTCTGGTTTTAAACTTTAGTGACTTGATGGATATATAATGTCATTTGAGAGAACCATTTCTATACTTTATGAATCTTTAGGTTGAGCATTCAAAATAAAATGCTAACTGATCTTGTTGTTCTCTTTCTCAAAGCTTGTACAACGAGGATAGAAATTTACTTCGTATCAGGGAGAGAGAGAGACGGAATCAGGAGGCCCTTCAGGAAAGAGACACCTTCCCCGAAAATATTCCCCTCTTTGCAGAACCATACAAGGTAATAGTAATGTAGCATATTGCTGAGAGGAGGTGAGGTGGTGGGGAGTTGTGACCTCTGTGTTCGGTGTAATATGGTAGAGTACAATGTAATATGTGTACAGCAGGACTGCATTTGCATTGCAGCTCCCAAAATATGCATTTAAGACTGTGGTTTCATTTTGCAGGTTATTAAAGTATTAAACTTGGAGATTGCTGCGTGTCGTATTGGGCACATCTGCCTTTTTTTCCAGAAGCTAGTGGGTGGACACTTATGACCCACTTGGCCTGCCCATCCATCAGCAGCCTGCAGCTTGAAACCATGCTACTGCTAAAGGCCCACCTGCAACCTTTACTCATGTTGGTTAGCACTTGTGTGAAAGCAATCCCTTTCACAGCAGTGAGATATGTACATGAACAAGGGTTGCCTAAACCTACCATAAAATGGTGTTAAGATGGTGGTTTATTGAAAATTAAGACTTTTTCTCTCCCCCTTGAACCTGGATTTGATTTTTTTTGGGGCACTTGCATTTTCTTTTCTCATCACTTCTGTTTCAGACAAACAAAGAAGATGAATTGTCCAGTCGAATTCAGAACATGTTGGGCAATTATGAAGAGGTGAAGGAGCTCATTAGCAACAGATCTCATCAGAATCTCATAGGGATACCCAAAAATGTTGTTTCTTTGATCCCCCAAGGAAAGCCTGATCGCCCATCCTTTCTTGAAAAGACCAGCAATACATTAACACCTTCATTCCAGCATCGCATCTGCCACCAACCTATGGGATCCCTGGTCTGGGCTCCTTCTCCAGCTAGCAATTCCATCCACTACCAAAAGACACAGTTAAGAACAGAGCCAGCCTCCAGTTTGCACACCAAAAGCCACAACTTATCCAACAGTCGGAGCCAAGGTCAAGAATACAGTCGCAGTGGACAGGAAGGCCACAATGGCACTCGCCACAAGAAAAATGAAAGGCGTGTTGATAAAGGTACCACTAATGAACTGCAAGCCTCCCTTTTGGAACTTTCTCCCTTGCTGTCCTCTTTGTCTTCTCCGGTGGCACCCCTGTCACCTCTACATTCCAGCCAGCATGTAAATTCCAGGTCACAGAATAGCAGCAAAAGTCATGGGCAGTCCTGCAGTCAAATGCAATCTCCTCAGGACCTAATGGCAGGATCACATGATAGTGAAAATCGGGACTGTTCAGCCATTAACTTGGCTGGTGCCACCCAACCTTCCTCTCAGACATTTCCTCCTTCCTTGCCATCAAAAACTAGTGTAATGCAACAGAAACCTACTGCATATGTCAGACCAATGGATGGCCAAGATCAGGCACCAAATGAGTCACCAGAGCTCAAGGCACTTCCAGAGGAGTACCATGGAGAGTCCTACAAGAAAATATCAGATCTAAAAGCAAATGTCAAGGCCAAGCTATCCAAATTGAAAATCCAGTCTGAACCCATTGAGGTTAGTGAAATTACTCTTCTCCGCTGCCAATAGAGTAACTTAAGCTGAAGGGCAGAATGTTGAGGGAAAGGGGCTGGTTGAAGGGCCCATTGGCGTGCACTTTTTATTATCTTGTGGGAGACCTAGAATCTGGTTGTTGCTGTCTTGGGAGGTGACTGTGGGTTGCTAGAGAGAAGATGGTGTAGATTGGTTTGTCAGTGCTTTGGAGCAGATTTGGGGGAGGGTAGATATAATCCTTATACTATAAACTTCTGTTGTAGAAAGCAGCTTGCTAAACAGAAATTGAGATGACGACTGCATTTTCTGATCCATTGTGCTGAGGGTGCTTGTATCCCAGGTGTATGTTGGAAGAGGAGAGGAAGGGAAAGAGTTTTAAATAGCCTGAGTCCTTCATTACAGAAAACAAAACTTCAGTGGGTAATTGGACACAGCTATTAATAATTATATTACATTTATAAATTGAAGTTTCCAAAATTACTCAGTCCTCTTAGCCACTTTAGACAATCTCAGTCATGTACTTTCTGGTATGTATATAAACAAAAGCTTTTTCTACTGGGGAGGAGGAGGGGTGTTAGTCTGATTGTTTTTTTTTTTCTAATGTATTTTTACTTGCTTATGTTGCAAATGCTCCCTTTCTTCCCTAGTCAGTTTGTTAAGTAAAAGATTTTACTAGGGTCCAGATAAACTTGCCTTTAAAGATGTCTCTCTTCATTCACGGTGCCCTCTTACTCCTTTTAATCAGCAATTATTTTCCAGGATAAGACCGAACCACATAAACTACAGCCGCATTTAGGGTTGGGTAAAAAGCCCACAAAGTTAAGGCTCCTGAAGTCCCCTGCTTTACTAAGTTCTTCTGTGCCCCAGGCCACAGAGCTCATGAGGAGGTATTTTGCATCTTCACATGTTAGAAGTAAGAATGCACAGAAGCTGACTACCAGAAAACTGAAGAAAGCATGTTGAAACTATATAGGCAGTCTGTAACAGTGTTCGTGAAATGCGGAGTAGAAGTAAATGGCCAACTCTTATCTCCTTTCATTTTGAAAGAGAATTGGAAACTGAGTGAATAGGAAGGTTTCTCTAAAAGTTCTGAAAGCCAGTGTCACAGCAGGGCTGCATTTTGGGACTATATGAGCTATTGGAGCACATGTTTTAGATCAGGGATGTCAGACACACCCTATAGGGCCAGGGATTGTGGCAGCAGGGCAAAAAGCAGCTGTGGAGGGGCCAGTGGTAGATGTGGCAGTATGACAGGCAACCACTTGCAATGGTGGTAAGGCAAGAGGTCATAGAATCATAGAAAATGAGGGCTGGAAGGAAGGTCATCTAGTCCAACCCCTTGCTCAAAGCAGGAACATTCCCAACCAGATCATCCCTGCCACGGCTTTGTCTAGCCATGTTTTAAAAACCTCCAAGGAGGGGGAGTCCACAGACTCTCTGGGTAACCTGTTTCAGTGCTTTACTACCCTCCTGATGAGAGTTTTTCCTAATATCTAACCTAAACTTCCCTTGCTGCAACTTGAGACCATTGTTCCTTCTTCTGTCATCTGTCACCACCTGAGAACAGTCTATCTCCATCCTCTTTGGAACCACCTTCAGGTAGTTGAAAGCTGCTACTAAATCCCTCCTCAGTCTTTTCTTCTCCAGACTAAATAAGTCCATTTCCCTCAGCGTCTCCTCATAGATCATATACTTTAGCCCCCTAACCATTGCTGCTGTCCCCTTGCTAATGACAGCCCATGGCCAAGGCGGGTAGGGATTCTGTTGCAGGCCCTGCCCCTCAAAGTCCTTGTCACACCAGGACCCCCAAGGACAAGATGTAATGGCTTTGCAGACCATATGTTTGACACCTCTTAGACTGTTAGGAAGCTTGTCCTTCTGTGGTGGTTGCAAAGAAAGGTAGTGTTTCTTTTTGCATCAGAAGGTTTAAAGCAGGGGCAGAATAAAACTTGATTTTCTTTTCCTTTCAAAATGCTGTCTTGTGAAATAGAGGTTTCACTCCTGGGGGTGTTTGTATTGCCTGTCAAGAAAGTTGTTTTTTTCCCCACACATTTTGTCTTCTTAATCTCTGTGTTAAATTTCATGCATATGCTGCAGATGAAGTTTAATTAAAGCAAGCCTCTAAACAAGAAGAAACCTGGTTGTATTAGTGTCCTGTACAACATATATTTTTAAATGATGCCTTTTTGTAAAACTGTCTTTCCATAGCAGTTGTGCTCTGTTGGGAAGTGTCTCTAGTGGGTTATGGAATAGAGAAAATCCCACACAATTTACTGATTCGTTTTGATGCACTGGCTGGGGGAGTAGTTAGCTGATTGCACGATTTCACAATGATTACACACTTAATTTATACAACACAATTTTATTTTAAAATTCTTTGCTACGTATATAACACTGCTTAGCTTTAAGAAACACCACAAACATTAAGAACACAATAATTACGTATATCAGAAACAATGCTCCGAATGCACTTCCTTCCCAAACAATGCTATAAGAATTAGTATTACAAAAACAACTACAATTACAACTAAAAGTTAAATTTGAATCAATACTATTATTTTTCATAATATACTTACAATCCTAGAATTCCGAGAAGCCAAACGCCTAAATATGGTTTCATTCCTCAGTAGTACAATTTAATGGGTTGGCCTCAGTAGTACGGTTCAATGGGCTCGCCTCAACAATACAATTCAATGGGCTGGCCTCAGCAGTGATAGGACTAAGTCCCCTTCCTTCAGTCCCTTTCAGGTGCTCCGTGGCTTCAGCATGAACTAAGAGATTCGTGTTCACGGAGAGGGTGGTTCAGGTGATCAATCTGATCCGGCCTACACTTGCGATTCTTCCTTCGTTGTTCTGCAAGTATAGTCACCTCCAAATTGGGACAGTAAGTTACAGTTTTTATTGAGTGAGCTGCCGTCTTGGGCCACTCCTACTCAAACCTGTCATTACCCCCAAATTTGGGTTCGGATCTTACTCAACAGATTCTTTTGCTTAGTAATTAGTTTCTTTTGTTGATCATTTTAATTACTTTGGGGAACTTCCATACCACTGCAAGTGACCTTTTCTTACCAGTCTTTCCAAAAGGCCCTAGGGTTTGATCTCTTGGAACTCAGGATATTTGCTGAGTACAATTTTCAGGTTCTCTTTGTAAAAGACTTCTAAAGATAAAATTCAAAAGTTAAGACTTTGAGCAAAGTCTGGATCTTCACACGTAGTCCAAAACAATGACCTAGATAAGGAGATAAATCTTATCTTCTTCCTGAAACTGGCTAATGGGCAACCTTTACAAACATTCAAACTATTTCATTCAATATGACAGGAAGCACTACAGATATTTTCCATGAGATGACATGAGATAAGTCAGATCTAGTGTGTTGGTGGATGTTTGCTGTAATGAACCCTCAGGTTTATGGATGCCTGCACACCTCCAGAGAAATGGGCTTTTACTTTGAATGACATGTTTCTATTGCTTTTTTAAAAAAAGATAGATGTGGCCCGGGTTTGATGGAAAGGCCTATTGTAAGACATTTTGGTCTCAACCCACTTCTTGTGGAGAACTGTAAGAAATTGGCATGTGCTGAGCAATGGTGAGCTCATTTGAATATGAAAATTTCTTTGATTAGAAGAACATTCTTCATTGTGCATCTCATGAGCAGACAGGCAAAGTCATCTGGGTTTCATTTTTTCCCTTAGTCAGATTGCTTTACAGCAAAGCTGTGTCCTATTTCCAAGCCAGCTTCTTCCCAAACCAGTTTTGGAGATGAAGCTGTTGTTTGCACTGCCTATTGCTGTAATTTTTGGAAGAGCTTCTTTTTCCTGTGGTTCTCACAAATTGGGGCTTCTTTGTTCTCCTTCAGCTCTACTGCACTGTTTCACTATCATTCTGTTCTTCTTTTCTCCTCATGTTGCTTCACTTCTCCTTACATAGCCTGTTTTTGTCTCCTTTTTTTCTTTAATGTCTAGACTCTAACTTCTGAGAGGGCAGGCCTGGTGGGATTAAATATTATATATTTAATGAAAATCTACCTCCTTGTGGGCTTCAGCTGGAAAGGAAGTGGAGAGGCTCTTAAGGCTCAAAGCCTCATCTGTAATTGCATTTCTAGACAAGTAATAACCTGATGTGCAAGATCTTTGCTTTTGAATGCCTATGTGCATCAAATAGCATAGTTATCTTGTATGTGAAATATTTTGGATGCACATCTTTAGAGAAAATAACTGTTCAGTTTAGTTAAGAGACCCTATTATTTCAGCCTACTTATTTCTACATCATTTTACAGTGTTTTTGGCTTTGAAAAGAAGTAAAGCCCTTTCACTCACTAGGGCTGGAAACTGAGCAATAGGAAGATAAAGTATCATTATATACCTTGAAAGTTCTCTGGATAAATTGTTGGAGCTCTTGTGCATGTTATTTTTAACAAAGCTGTTCACCTGAAATGTGGTAGTGAGTAGCTGGAAGCTATTTTACAGTGGGTAGAGCCCAAGGAGAACAGTCAAGCTTGCCCTTTTTGGGAAAGGGCCAGTCTATTTCCTTGTTTTTAGTGAAACACAGGAAGGGAGACATTTAAATGAAACCACAGTATCCAAGTCCCTGCCTCTGCTCTTTGACCCAGTGCTGAAGGAGTGATTTGATGTGACCTGCAGGAATTTGACTGCCTTCTCCCTGCCTGTTTGTGGCATGTTTTTATAATTTGTTTTATACTGTTCAGCCCCAGTTACGCCTGATAGTGACAAACCAAATTCAGTTTTTCCCAGGGTCTCCCTTGATATCATTTAGGGGATATTTCTTCTACCAAATGGCTCTTGTCTAATTGAATTTCCAAGGCCTGTGTGTCACCTGCAGCTGTGAATTAATTGTTGACAGCTTTTGCTCATGACAACACTGACAAGTTAAGCCTTCCAGTTTGAATAGACAAGCAGCTTCACTGTAGAGTGAATTAATCCACAGTGGATAACTGTTCAGGGACTCATTTTGTATTCATATACACATCCTACACAACTCTTCT